CACTCTTTCATTTCCTTGATTATTTTTCATACAATCAGATAGAGTAAATGTTGTTAGAATTAAGGGACATATTGATCCCAGTAAATGGGATTAAAATGACATTTAAAAACTATCTTTAAGGTGTTGTTTAGCAACAGATAAGATTTAACTTGCTAGGATTTAGTAAATCCTGCAAATCCGGATTTACTGAATCATGAATAGGTTAAATTTGAAAAACTATCTGGTGGCAACAGATTTACTAAATCCTATAAATTTAATGAAACTGTCTGGCAACATAGGGAAGAAGATGACCACTGGGAGGAAGAGATAGCCTTATCACAGCTTATCGCCACAGTTGTTGCCGAGCCGCGCCTTAAATCCGAAGAGGGCAAAGTTAAATCCACCAACTCATAGGATTTAATAAATCCAGATATTACCACATAAGTCCGTGAAATCACCGCATCTCAGAATTTATTTTGTCGAAAATGAGCTTCTGACAAGATTTCCCTTAAATCCTGCCTAAATCCCACCATAAATTCGTTGCCAGACAGCCCCTAAAGGTCTCAGTGTTTCACTTTCAAGCACAATAATGTCACTTACAACTGGTACAATAATGCTAGCTACTGAAACAATAATGTCACTTACAACCGGTACAATAATGCCACAATATCATTACCCAAAATTTTTATAATCCCATGTTTCCATTGGCAGATCTTCTCTTATCTGGCCCCATATTATAAACCACTGAAACGAATGAAAAGAAGAGGCAATACAAGTAGAGGTAGAAGGATTTACCAGCGTGACCCTCCCAAGCGCACTTTGGTTCCCTTGAAAGCTCACGCCGACCATCTCGCAGTCCATAGCTAGAGCTTCCGTCAAGCTGCCCAATGTCAGGACTCTTTCAGACCAACAGATAGATAGATAAAGAGAGGGAGGGAGAAAGAACCTGCAGTCATCGGAGGTGGGAGCAAGGATTGCAGGAGTGGAAAGCGAAGCCGCAGGCTGGGAGTTCGGCCTCTCCTTACGCTTACCGAGCGCGGAAGTTGAACGGATTACGTTATCGAGGGTAGCTGAATTTGGCAAGGGTTTGGGGTTGCAGCGGGATTTCAGCTTCTCCTGAAGATTGGCCCAGTTAGGGTTCAGAATCGTCGCTGCTAAGCCGCCGGCTTTTTCACTTCCGTCCTTTGCCATGCTGCGCGGAGTACAAGCGTTTTAGGGTTTCTTTGAGC